CCTACCAGGATCTATTCCTGCCTGATGCACTGCCTGACTGAATGGATAAGTAAAAGAATGAAAGACCAATTGAATGTGATTGACAGACTGCATGATCGGATGGACAAATGATGTCACATGCACAAGAGTGTAACACCAAAACGACTGACTAAAGTAACCATGGTTGTTGACAAATTGATGAATGATTGACAGTTCAATTGACTGTAAACTTGTTTACTAATTGTCTGTATAATTCCTATGGATTTCGTGTCTGCCTGCTTGAAGCATTACTACTCAAACTAATTGATCATTCGTACAATCCAGTGCTATATCACCCTATGGAATTCAGATTTCTATAGTTGAAATATTTCTAGCTTCGCTCTAGCTGCTATGAATTATATTTGTGATATCTAGAGACGTGTCTAATCTATGTACTAAACATCGCTTAAATGCAATCAGCTCTTTTCCGTTACATTCAGAACTTCCGGTATTATTTCTGACTGACTCCTTGAGATTCTTCAACATCAAATTTTCTCTTTTTTACCTCATCTTCAGGATGAACTCTTCCTTTTGTAATGGGTACAACACTACTGGAGCTGCCCTCAGCCATACTGCAGTTCAGTTTCACTCTATAAGCTGGTTGTGTTTATATTTCGTAACTTCCACTGGTCGATAGTTTTCTTCGCAGCCTACCCGTTTGTCGGGCTTCCTGTCCCTCTTTTGGGAGGATGGTATTATATAACAATATTTTCGGAAACCTTGACCCTTTTTTGAAAAATTAAAAAATACACTTGAATTGTATTTCTTTGAACTTTTTGCATGGGTAATACCGGAAAAAATCTACGAAATAGAAGTCGTATTTCTTGCGTACTCCCCCTCCCACTCCCTCCCCAATACAACCACTGATCCCTCAGCTGACCATGTACACAAACGGCTCAAGTTATGCAACCAGAATACCGATATTTAGGAGTTCCCAAACTATTTTTACTAGTTCAAGATGTCGGGCTGGTTTTCAAGGACTTCTAAAACTCTTCCAGACTGCACAGGACCCTTTTCAGTCGGCTGTGCCGACATTATGTTTGCACAAAGCGAATCTCTGAAATTCGGCAGCTTTATTCGACTGTTCTATCCTACTAGTCCAAAGAGCAGTGACTCAGCAAGTAATCCAAAGCAGGCCTTGTGGTGCCCTAGGAAAGAATATTCCAATGGGCTGGCAAGTTTTATTAACATGAGCTCTTGGTTGTTTGGAAAACTGATACATTGGACCGTAGGTTAGCATGTAATTTTCAGTACTTTAAAGAAAGAGGGTTATAAAATATAGGTGGGTTGTGTTACTTTGGTCATCTCAAGTGGGAACCAATTGCATATATGCATCTTATTTTACATGGCACGCGACATTTTTGTGCGACATACTTTTTAATTACAAATGTAAAGGATATATGTGAATATTTAATCATGCATTCCAGCTATAATTGATGCAATACTACATTATTAATTGCCATTAATTTTCATTGACCTGCTCAGCACCTGTCCACACAAGAATGCAATTAGTTGGTCTGAAAATCAACTCCGAAGCTCTTAAGTGAAAAATAACTACAGTTGTCAACTATAGGTAGAGAGGCAACCAAAATGGCTTGGGGGCCTCGTCCATTAGCATCTAGCAGACTTAACTCCAACAGTGCTAGTTACACTTGGGTGGAGAGAGGCATTGAGAGAGTAAAGTCTCTTGCATAAGGGCACAGTTAATAGAGAGTTTAAGTATCATGTTTACGTAAAACTGCTAATGGCAGACTTAAAACCCCAAAATAACTCACTCTTGCGTCGAAACTGTAACGTTTTGTTCTTTCATTCGATCTAAGGGGCGGATCTTTTTGTAAACTCGTTCAGTCATTGGCTGATTTGTAGTCAAGCTCCGCCCCAAAATCACAGAAAAACCTAAATCCTAACAATTTGTTTTGAACATTGAAGTTGCAATGTGACCAGTTTCTGCTGTAAGTGCATCATCTTCATGTATACACCTAATTGAAAAAATGTAGTCATGTTCGAAAAGGTCGCATCATAGAAGCTAAGACCGAAAGGGATTTTGAGTACCACTAAATTGGGATTACATTTGCATATACGGTGTACACTAAGCAAGTAGAGCTAGTAAGATTAACAGCATGCTAGTCTTTTTATGCTGGAGAGCTGTTTTTTATGAAATTAGTCAAATTGTTTGTCTTCCCAAATACCCTTTCGGTGTTAGCTTCTATGATTTAACCTTTTTGGACCCGACAACGTTTCTTCAATTAGGTGTAACCAACCACTGGTTCATTCTACAAGCGAAATTCAAGCTATGCAATTTTCTTTTCCAATAAAACTTTCAGGTAATGTAGTTATCCCTGCTATTCCAAATGCTCCTCTAATTTCTGGTCAAGATGACAGTCAGGGAATGCCTTGTATAGTGTTCAGCCATGGTCTTGGTGGTAACAGGTTTATGTACTCCACTTATTGTTGTGAATTAGCTTCTCATGGCTGTCTGGTAGCAATGGTGGAACACAGGTATTCTCGATATAATCTTGATTTTAATCTTGATTAATCTAATTTTGGTTTGATTGAAATGTAGCCTGTATTACAGCCAGAATTTTCTCTGTAGTAACCAGTCTTTAAAGAGGAAGTTCCTGCTTTTACACTATATTAGGCTATTTGATGATATGAACTTATATTGAATGTTTATTGAGTGGTGCAAACACAAAATGATGCCTTCTCTAATATTG